GCCTTAGGAGAAGAGGAGTCCTGTGAGTCCAGAGTGGATGGAGGAGTTTCTTTTTTACAGAACGAATTAAGAATAGGTAGTAGAAAGTTAGATGCCAAATGCATCAGCAACCGCACGCTACAGGGGTGTATCTGAAGTGAGGTGGCCGAGGGAATCGCCACAGCGTCTGGAGTGGCCTTTGTGTGAATCGGCCTTGATATGTCATTGGCTATGCAGAAGAGCGTGGGCTGCTGGTGCAAACGCACTCGTGGGCAGTGGTGAGACTTCGCACGATGTTCGTCTGTTAGGCGTCCATCACCCCAAGAGGTTTTATGGTGATTGTTGGCGACGGGTGTGGGGATTTTGAATACAAGTGTGGGATCGCGGGATGTATTTGCTTCGTGGAAGACCCAAGGCTTGATATAGACGTTACAAGTGGGGTGTTTGTGGATGCAGAATTTACGGTTGTCGGACTGCTGTTGAATTGGTTCCGTAGATGTCCGACAGGGCGGAATAACACGAAGCATGTTCGGTAGTAGTATGAGCGCTTGCGACTTTATGTTTGTGAATAGTGACTCGACTCGATTTGAAGACTGCTCTCTCAGTCATAACTGCCTTCTTCAGGCAGGTCGGCGGTATTTTATCCTCAACAGCAAGAGCTGGGCTTAATTACATCGAATACTCTAACTGTCCATAAAATAATTGAGAGTGAATTTTGTTTGCCTGATTCTAAACGGATGGCTTATGAAATCCAATTGGCCAGAATATTATAAGTTACCCCATTCAAGATCCTTTATATTGTGCATAGACATATATGGCCATGATGTTATAGCGTACTCCAGATATGGGTACTAGCTAAAAGCCCAGACATAGGTTTCGCCGATGTTTTCGTTACTGCATGCTACCTGAACAAGGGGTTCGGCTCCTCAGTGGACCCCCCAGTGTTCTCTATGCGGCTTCTGATATATGGCCTCCCGGATATACTCAACGGAATAATTGTGGAAACTACTAAATGCATGACATGGAAATAAGTGATCGGGCCGTGAATGTTTAGTGACAGAACGTACATTTCATTTACTCAGTGGGTCCGCCAAGGTTCTCTATGCGGGTTCTAGTATATGACCCCCAGATAATAATCAAGGGAATAATTGTGGACATAAGGAGGTTGTTCAACCCGTGTCAATAAAAAGGTACTACATATTTGTAGGAGTTATCGCAGGGGGTTAAGGTGAGCTAAACCCAGCAACTGCGATCTTCAGACCA